TTAGTACTTCAATACGTTGGTATATTAACATTATATCAGTAAATGAAATACGTCTTTTTACTGTGAATTTAAGTTAAGTCTGTAAAACCTAAAATTGCCTTGCCTTTTTTTTTACGGCAACCACAGCTCCCGGTAGCCTATTTTACTGTAAATGTTACCGATTTTTTTTTTTTTTTTTTACAGTGTAGGATTTACTATTGCAGCTAAATAATTCTGTAGCCTATACAATCGAATCAACAACTGGCTTTAAATATTTTACTAAGGCGTGTCAGAGGGGCGTTATATAACGAATACATAACTTAAAAAACGTGTCAAATAACTTTATGGGAAAAAAAATCTATTTCAAAATAACTCATTGTTAATTCATGCTCTTCGCTGCAGCATAACATTCGAAGTTCGCCTATATAAAAAAGGCCTATTAGGCCTATATTTAAATTTTTTATTTCAGTTGGGTTTCTGCTTAAGTTTTGCCTTTGAAATCTAGCACTGACCAAGATACTGTGCGTCAGGTAACAAATAAACAAAGATTATGGTACACCAGTGAGCTCCGTGTCGGGCACGGTGCAAGAGTACAAAGTGTTTTTGCATGTGACAACTCAGCGAGGTGTCAACCGCAGTCGTGCTTTAGCTACAAGTCGCGGGACTCGAGCTATAAGTCCACTTACTCAAGCGATTACATGGTGTTTGGTTCAGGTAACGTGATGTGCAAACGTGACGAAAACTTTACCATCTCGCTTATGCAGAGGCACTGTTATCCGTGTCCGCGATAGTCTAAAAAAACAGCACAAAAATTCAAAAACTTGCCAATAAGATACAGTCCGAAAATAGAAGCGACAGGCGTGGTCAGTTCACAACATCAGGCAACACTTGGTGCAAACAGTTCTTCGCCACGCCAGTGAATCATCACGTTTATGTTTTGCACCCGCTTGTCACGTGTAGTGTCACGCACTGTTCTTATACAGGTGAAACCGATTATTCATACCTGCAATAAGGCGCCAGAATGATTCACGTGAATGCAACTAGCGGCTCATGCAGCGCCACCATGGTCAGCATAATAGATGTGACTCCTTTTATTGCTGCGAGATGGTCTTTTTTTTTTTTTTTTTTTTTTTTTACACAATATACATAACGATATACAATAAAAAAAAAATACCAAGACATACTGTCACGGGCAGGGTGTTCCAGAGACCAGGCAGGAAGACGAAGATGATGAATAAACGGATATTTAATTAATTGACTTCTTCGCCACGCCAGTGAATCATCACGTTTATGTTTTGCACCCGCTTGTCACGTGTAGTGTCACGCACTGTTCTTATACAGGTGAAACCGATTATTCATACCTGCAATAAGGCGCCAGAATGATTCACGTGAATGCAACTAGCGGCTCATGCAGCGCCACCATGGTCAGCATAATAGATGTGACTCCTTTTATTGCTGCGAGATGGTCTTTTTTTTTTTTTTTTTTTTAAGTAGCACGGTTTTGTTCTCTGGCACGTGCCTGCCGGAGCCCCAAAAGAGGATAATGGTTTTCCAAAAGCTGGTGCGCTTTTCTCTAAGGGAGGCTCTCTATCTGGGACACAGTGGAAACCTATTTTGGGGGTAAATTGCTGTTTTGAAAATAACCATAAAATAGCTTCAAAAGCTGAAAAGGCGCAAAAAATGGTCAAAATAACTCCAAAACACACGACTTTAGACATTTGGATTTTGTGCATCCTAACTACATATTATAACCACACACACACACACACACACACATATATAGGGTAAGATGGGGGGAAGAAGTCCACCGTAAGAACAATGTCCATATACTGATATACACATGAGTTTAGCATAGAGGATCTTCTGAAGTTCTTGTTCTTAAGCTGTGGAATTAATAAATAACAACAACTTAAATGACAATGAATTCCAAAACACAAGCATGCACGTTTACTTAGCTATCTAAATATGGACATTCCATAGACTTATTCTGTTTTTTATACCTACCAAAATATGGTAGGTACACACAATCTTATTTTATCCCATCCCCCATAACACAGCTTTACATTATGATTGTGTGTGCATCGTAAAAGTGATGAGCCTATATTTTTATATAAGTTAATAATATA